CTTCTTTTATCATTTTACAAAATATCATTGCATATTTCCACATATTTCATAATATTTCCACAATGTCTATAATTTTTACAATATTTCCCCTCGACATTTCCAACATATATCCTATATTTTGGTAAGCGACATTTCCATCAACATCGACATTTTAAACCTTGGGTAATTGAGGCCATCAAAGGGAATCACAGCCATAGGGAAACTCATGTCAAAACCTCCACTCATCCCACTCTGACTAGAGGTCACACCAAACATACTAGAATCCTCAAAAGACATAGAACTTGGTTTCGGTTCAGTCACAATTCAGTCAGAGAACACGTTCTCAGTTCAGTTCAGACTCACTGTTCAGTCAAACAAGGTTGAAGTCTTAGTTCAGCCACAATTCTGGGCACAAAGAAAACTTGTTCTCACATAGAATAATCAAAATTGATCACGCACCATTACTTGTTCTCAGATTTCAACCCTACTAAACCAGTTTAGATGTGTAAAACATATCAAAAACAGGTCTGACCAGTCCCTCTAGCAATAATTCACCAACTTTCCACACAACAGTTTAAGTTTCAATATGAACTGAAGAAGAAAACAAACTGCTGTCACAGCAGTTACAGAACTGCAGACCTGAACAGCCCACCTTTCAGGGCATAAGAAGGATCACTTGATCCACATATAATGAGAGAAAACACTCTCACACCAGCCGCAGGTCATTAGATCCACATAACCCACTTGCCTGGCTACAAAAAAGGATCAGTTTGATCCACAAAGCTGAGGAAAGAAGAAAAAAATGTCACAGCATTCGGCTTCCCTCGAAGATTTCTGGGCTCATGACCAAGAGAAAAAAAATTTCACAGCAAGCTTCCTCACATGTCCACCAGATTCTTTGAGTCGATCATCAATAGACAAATACAGTAGTTGGAGGAAGAAAAAACACAGTTTGCCCTGCTCCTAAGATTGGATCTGTTGCTCTGATACCATGTTTTCTTGGTAAAGGGGCAGTACGATCCCAGAATAGTGAGAGGAGAAGGAGAAGAGAGAAGAGAGGAGAGAAGAGAGAGGAGAAAAAGATTGGAGAGGAAGAAAGTCAGCTGGCGGCGCCAGCCTTTTTAATATTTATACTAGGGTGACCATTCAGAAATTAAAAAGAGGTACAATTACAAAGGTGCCCTTGCGGCACTAAACTGAAATAAACTAAGTTATTCAACAAAGACTACCAAATAATTTAAACAATGATAATGCTTAGTGTCAGTAAACTTGATGTTGAGTGTATATTCAGCGGCACCTGACTTGTTTATGGAGGTATATTAATATTAATCAATGCAAGTCAATGTGGAAACTTAGGGAAAGAAAACAAAATGTAATGTTTGGTGGTTAGTGATGACATTCTAGGATAATGTCAATAAAATTAGAAGATTGGATCCTCTTCACTATCTGTGTTCCAAAATAAGTTCCTCATTTTTTATTTAACATGTTTTTATTTTGTAATCATCATATCTTAACTGGATTTTAAGGCCAGCTGTCTAGTCTTTGACATAAGACTACTGAGAAAATGGTTGGATGCATCAAGTGTCAAATAGCATCTCAAAAGGCTGTTGAAGCTTTTGATTGTTGCAACATAGGAAATCTGGGTCCATCAGGGATTTGGGGGGGGGATCAATGATGATAATGGGGCCATAATTTCCATGTATGAAGGCCCTAAAGGCTATGGTGTTACTTCAAAAAGTTAATTGTTAGCAGTTCTACAAGGATTGCGTCTGAGGATGTCACTCAACTTAGACAATGTAGTGGTGGAAGATGACTCAAAGGTGGTTGTGTGAAGGACCTTGGCACACCTTGAGAGAGATAAGGTAGCTAACTCAGGATTTGGGTTAGGTTGCTTGCTAGCCTCTCTTGGGATGCTTGGCATGCTGTATATATTCCATTCTCTAAGCTTGTAACCACTAAAGCTTTAAGTTACCCATAAAAAGGTTGTAGAGGCTAGGGTTTCAAGGGAAAGAACTATGCTGGCTGGACCGAAAAGAGAAAATGGATATTCGAGAAGACAAAGGAGTAGGATTTTAGAAAGGTTAGAATAGGAGTCAATAAAGGTGCACGGGTGCTATCAATGGGAAGAGATGAAAAAGTGTGATTGGATGATTGGTGATTTAGGTTTCATGGAGAGGTTCTGCTTAAGGTTGAATTGGAATGGAGTAAACAAAGTTAGCATAAGGGGGAAAACATAACAATAAAAGGGAATGGTTGAGATAAAGAAGATAACCAATAAAAAAGGGCAGTTAAGGTAAAGAAGATGATTGATGAATCTTGCCTCCAAATCCTGGACAAGACTCACTAGTCTTGGGCAGGAAAAGCTCAATGTCATCCTAACATTGAGGTATGGAATCACACCATCACAACAGAACCTTTGTGAAGAGAAATCGGAGTCCATCTAGGAAATGTAATAAGATTGTGCTATCTTTAAAGCTACCAATTCTAAAGGATCCTACTGGGCCTGTGATATCAAATCCACCCTATTGCATGCACTGGTTGGATGTGGGCCTACTGCAACAAATTTTTGGTCCACCTCAAGGTCCATATTGAGCCCAAACATCAAGCTCATCTTGAGCCCTAATTGTAGGCCTGAGTGGGGGCCCATTTTTAGGCTTATCCATACTGCTTGTCTGCTTAATTTGGACTTTGGAGGTGTTAAGGAATTTGGTTTTCCAGGGCTTAAAATACAAGTCAATTGTGATTTCTTTCTTTCTTTTGTTTTCAGAATGTCAAATGGCAAAATTTGACCTAAGAGCTAAAGAGCTGAATATTAGAAAACTGGTCATAGAAGGAGATGATTCTAAGGGTGGTAGTGGGCTGGATAAAGGAAGAAATGAATGGGCTTTGGAACTACAGTAATGAAAAGAAGAAATTCAATTGGCTGAAAAAGGACATTGATGTAATATTTTTATGGGTTAAAAGAAGTGCCAATTCTTATCGAAAAGGAAGTGCCAATTCCTTTGGTGTTGGGTTAGCTAAACAAGGGGTGAATTGGGGCTCCTTATTTTGGGCTCAATTGTATCTGTATTTTTCACCTTTGGGTGGCCTTCTTTTTCGATGGGAGAGTTAAGAAAGCTTATTTCCCCTTTCCTGTACTCAATCCTTAATTCTTTTTAATGAAAAGTCACTTGTTATTGATAAAAAAAGAACCTACATAAGGATCTCTGTTAATGCTAATTTCTTTTGCTTGACAAATTGCTATGTGGTTGTGTTGTATTACTTTCTACATGTTGCAATTCTTCCTGTTTCTTTAATACTTGTATCATTAATTGGATCATGAAGAAATTTTCTGAGTGGTAACAAGATCAAGCTTTGGATTACCTTTTCATGGCAGGATTCTTGGAGCCTGAGCCTCTCAAACAGTGCATACAGACCAAAACGTTCTTTACACTCCAGATATAATGTTATTACGTGCCGGTCTGTTCTAATGCCAGGACAAGGAAATGGGATTCCCATTCTGAAAACTGCTGCTGTAGCTTTGACAAGGTATAATGCATGTTAAGTTATGAACATTCTGAGTATGTGAATAGATCCACATTCTTCATTAATACATAATCAACTTATCCGTCTATGAAGCTTCTGTTTGTAAGCCTGTGAGGCGTGCCATCGAGTTTTTCTGCATTGATAAACTTCTCATGTTCAGGCATTTGGATACTCTTGATTGGAATGCAACTGTGAAGGGAGTACACTGTCACCACCCAAACAATGGTGTTGACCTCAAGGGATTTACTTCAAGATTACAAAACAGACCAAAACAAATTGTCCCCAAAGGTTCGTTGCTTTACCAATGTATCAACTAGTCCATTTGCTTATCTCCTTGTCCACCTAAACAAAATCCCGACCCCCCTTATTAAGCAAATGGTTTCCCTTTTTAGTTGTCTATGTGTCCAGACCCCCAAGTTATTTGACTGCATCCACCCAACTTGTAGTTTAGAACCCCCAACTTCCCTTTCTACAGTGATTTAAAAGGCACGACTAGGCGCAAGGCGATGCACATTTTAGGGTATGCTCCTCACCTTAGTCCCAAGCACAGAACTTTCAAAAGGCATGCGCCTGGTGCGCTTTGCACTTCAGCCCAAGCGTGCAACTTTTAAAAATTTGTGCAGTTTTTTTTTGCTGTTTTTCTATGCCCTAGCCAAGCCCCTCGAGGCAAGTCCAAACAAGTCCATGTCAGGGTCTTAAATTCTTAATCCCTATAAAAAAGTTTTTTATAACTTTAATTGTCTTTTAAAAATATCTTTTATTAGGATGAATGAATGAGCAATATTAGCAAATATGGGGTTTCCCAGTCATTTAGATTTCTTCTAAAATCTGGGCCCTAAATAATCTCCTCACTCACCTGGTCATAGCAATCCTCCACCACAGCATCTTTGTCTTGGGCAATATTGTAAATGAAGGGGAATTTTTCTCTTAGAGTGAAGTCTCCACACCATATATCATTGCCAAAACTTGGTCTGATAGCATTTGTCTACCCTGAAGTTGATCCCTTTCAGGAAATCAGGGAGGATTTTGAGAATATTGCTCCAGACTGCACACCCTAAAGGTGAAAGGCCAGACCTAGAATCCCACCCTAGGATTGAGAGCACATATTTTCCTGCTATAACTCTTCTCTCTTCTCCACAAATTTCCTCTTTCCTTGCTAAATCTCTAGCTCCATTTACCAAGAAGAGATTTGTTGGTTTTCCTGATGTTTCTGATGCTAAGGTCACCATTTTCCTAGGTTGGCACACATTGTTCCAATTTATTAAGTGAAATTTGAAATTGTTTCTCCATCCAACCCATTAGAAAGTCCTCATCTTCTTCTCTAGCTGTTTAGCCACCCCAGCAGGGATTAGAACTGTTATGATTCGGCCTGCCTTGGAGTTCTATTTGTTTGAGATCAGTCACGTAGAGAGAGGTAGAAAGGTGGAAGAAAGAGAGAGAGAGAAAATGAGAAAGTCTGGTTCGAACTGGAAGTCAAAAAACCTAACTCCCATTCGGCCAGACATGTGCTTTTATTATTAAAATAATGGAAAAGACATATGTGCCCTTATTTAAGTAAGGAGCACTGGTTCTAACATAATATTACAGATCAACAACCTTAATATAAGTATAAAGACAGAAATACCCCTACGCTAACACTCC